TCTTTTCTATAAAAAGAAAAGTGCATATATTATGTCTTATTCTACGAGTAAAGTATAAAAATATTCAAGATCACTTCTATATTGAGAATTTATTTTTTTATTTTAATTGTTTTTTGCTTGTTGGCATCAGTAGCGTTTATGTTGATGTTGTTAACAAACAATCTGGATAAAAAGTAACCTACGTACTATTCCAGACTATAATCTATATCTGTGCCGGCGTTCTGGCGTGATTGAGTGACAAAGATCCAAACTTTCGCGTTTATAATTGTAGTAACATTAATTTTCCTTAAAATATGATGACATGTGTTCTATGTGTGTTACTGTAAATAAAAGTTTGGAGCCATATTGTAATTATGAATTAATGTCACTTATATTGAGTTAATTGATACGTAGGTTATATGCAGTGCTGACTGTACTTTCCAACGCTATAAATGCATACTAAAACATTCTCTTCACATTATTTTAGCTTTGTATTATTTTTTGTAATTGTTTGTTCAAGTTCAAAACATAATAATAATATCAAACACCTATATATCACAGAAAACATAATAAAAAACCCGTCCCTGATCCCCGACCGGCGGTGCTGTGTACCAGAGTAGAATAAAACGTAAGGAGGTAGGGAACAGAAAAAGCGAGTGATTTATCGTGTGAAGCGACATCTTCTGCGGCCCTAGTAACCTGGCAGGTGCTGGGTTCAAAATATATAAGTATATAATACATTTATATAGATACAATAAAGGCGGTAAAACGTTACCTACATTTGAAGAAAGACTAATTTAATTTTACCTTCCAAATGTAATATTTAGAAAAAACTATTTGCGCAACTAGAAAATTGGTGAGTTCACAGAAAGCAGTAAACTCCAACGGAATATAGAGTGTTTAATTTATTTCGTATTAAAGTAAGATATGTTTTATATAGCTCCGTAACCGATTATTAAAATCCAATTAAAATAAAATATAAGCCCGAGAAACAATGGCGGTGGTTTCGCGCCAAAACACGGCAATTAACATTCATAATTCTCGTTTTTTATCGAATTAAAACAATTGGTGCTTCAAAAACTTCGTTCTGATTCCTATCACTCGAAGGTACAGCGGCCCTCAAACTTTACACGGTGTTAATTCCGAAGCTCAGATGAGTTTAAGGTTATATTTTGATTTGTAACATCTTTTGTAAGTTGTGGTTTCGTGTAATGTGTAAATGTGTAACAGGAAGCCATTGAAGCTCGCACTATTTGATGAACTATGAACGCATGAGGTGCTCGAGCGGGCCGACTGATGGTAGCTGAGATGTCAGGTTTAATAATATAAATTAATAATATAATTTATTATGTTAACCATGGCTCATTGATTATTACATATACATAAAACTTATGCTATGTTAGTAAAGACAATTTACAATATATTTTTCATGCACGTGTTAAGAGATGGCGCTGCAGTGACCAATGTACCTACAATCTAACCTCTTTGCAATCATGGCTAGTATGCTGTTAGAGCTAGCCCGTACCCTGCGCACCAAAGATGCACACCGTTTTCGAATAGTAGTGTAAAAGCATAATACAGTAGTAATACATTACACGGGACCACTGTATCGCTCGCTAATTGTTTTAAATTCAAATGCTTAAATAAAATTGGATAAAACAGTAATTTTCGTAAAGTGTGGCTGAAGGGATCTTGATGAAATTTGTAACTCATCACATCATCATCAACAGCCTATAATAGTCTACTGCTGGACATAGGCCTCTCCTTAGAAGGGAGGGAGGAGGAGGGTTGTAACTAAGATAGACTATAGTCTGAAATAGCAAATAAGGTTATAATCCCGAAAAAAAAAACTTCGACATCCAGACTTGTCCGTTCACGTTCAAACCAAGAACAAAAAGATTGAGAATCACATTGATCCGCGCGCATTTTAATAACAGTGGTTGTACAAATCAAAATGGTCGATTCTTAGGGGCATAATTTATTTGGGCTACAATTAATTTCACCCAATAACAACTATTCATTAACGTTTCCTAACTATACACAGTTTTCGTACAAATTGAACATTTAATTGTTATTTTTGTTACGTTGTGAAGATCTTTTGTAAATTGTACATTCGGTTTGTTAAATGGGATGCATTTGAATAAATGTAATTGAGTTTGTTTAAATGGAGGTTAGCTATTATTTATTGCTGACGATTGTGAGATAAATATTAAACTGTTTAATTATTTTTTTTATTAAATTAGTACAATTTCTACTACTATTAAAATTTTTTTATGGCACAACTTACCTAACGCATGATGTGTAATATATGCTAAACGAAGTGTTCTTAATTCAAATATAAACTGTAGCAACGTCTTTATGAGCCTTTAATATTTTTATAGTAGGCGAATAATAGCGGACGCCATTTGTTAATCGTTACTTAAATAAGGTTTTCGAACGGTAAAGTGAACACGTACATAAATAACAATTGTACTTACACGTTTTAAAACATGTTGTAACTTTTCTCCTCCAATGTTTAAGTATCCGGTAGTTTTTTTTATTTTTTATCCCCGTCACCCATGACTCGGTACGTAACGGGCATATTTAGACAATTTCCTTAGCAATCCCCCGTCTTCCCTCCATATATTTATAAGGAGCCTGCCCTATCCTGATATTCGCCAGGTTATTACAATTTTTCGCATTATGAATATCGTCGCGAGGCACCCCACTAATGCGCCTCGTGTCGAGGGACCCACACCTCAGCAATTTTACTTTAATTCTTATTTAGAGTGCCGCCTTATTTCGTTTACAAGATTTTTAGTATTTGTTTATAGCGTTAACTTGTGCTATGGGGTAATTTTCGCTTCTTTTTCACCCAACGACGTAATTCTACTTTATGCTTTTTAAGTAAGTTTGGATAGGGCAAGCAAATTGCTTATAAAAGTACCAGGATAACAGTAAATGTAAGAACATTCGAGTTTTGAACAGAGGTCAAGGGTTTTATTTGTACTAGAGTGTAGGTGTGTGCGTCGGCCGCGTCACCGCGCCGCTATCAATCATGCATGCACCATTGCGCGGCGCGAGCTTTTGTTCGAATTACGAATTTCGAAAAAGGAACACAAAGCGGGAGAAAATTATGTTGGCTACGTTCCTTTTAAACATGGCGCCCCCCGTGGTGATGCACCCGCACATATCGTATTATTTTTCAATTAAAACAGTCAAATGAACAGTGTTTGCCATTTCTGTAAAATGTTAGCTCCTGATAATGTAACCGCATTGTGTTCTATGCTCTACAAAAGTGCTCACAGCCGCTCCTGTGACATTACCGAACAGAATAATATACAATGTGACACCGTTAAAAAAGTAACGAAATTGCTAATGGTGTATGATATTGCCTCCCCTTATTTTTGGGGTAAGAAAAGACTAGGGGCGGGCAACACCTTCGCTCTCCCAGGAGGTGTTTTTTTGAGTCGTCGAGTATTTTTTTTTATTTTTTTTGTATGTTTTTTTGCGTAATGACGCTGGGGTCCTGGGAGACTTGGACGAATCCATTAGATAGGCGGGGAAGAGCTTAATGTAGCAGGTTTTTTCTTTTGAAATCGAAATCGGTTGAAAAAACGATGTCGCATGTGAAGAACATTAACTCGAATTGTAATGACGATTTTACCCGACGGCTCATGCCGACGTAAATATAATACAACAATATAAAAACTATTATGTTAATCATTATTATCATAATATGTGCTTTATTTAGATAAGATGAGATTAAAAACCGTTTTGAATTTTACTTCTAATGCCGCTGTTGTTTCGAGAAAAGACTACAAAAGTTTGATAAAGAACAACCAATGATAGTTAAGCTACATAAATTAAAAAAAGTTAATGTAAATTTTATTCAAGAAGGCATTCTATGTTTAAAATTTGCTTAAATATTTATTAAGTGCTTCCTAACTGTCTGAATTATTTCTGAACCGTTGTTTCCTGTGCCTATGTTTTGTTCTTTAATCTCACTGTCTCAGGATACATGGTCGATTGCCTTCTTTTTGTCTATGCTCCAAAAAAAAGCAACGTTAGTTTAAAACGCTAGCTGACTAATCCCTTTTATTTTAATGTTGATGTTATTAAAAAAAATATATAAAGACAAAACTATCTAAATATAACATTTTAATTTCAAATTAGGAATATTTTATTTCATTATAAAATTGCATAACGACTTTCAAATGAATTTTTTAAATTTGAATCATACGTTGTCATATTTTTTAAATTTATGACTTCATTACAGAAAATTTATTGAATTTTAACATACTTGCCTAAATATAATTGCTGTTGAAATATGAATAAGTACATTTAATTTGAATTTGAAGTAAACAATAAATAATTTTGAAATCCTTACTAAACAAATATAACTTATTGTGTCCAATATTACACATAATTAAAAAAAGAAATATGTTTCAAGGTAAAGATTTAAAAGTTTAAGAAATTTATAATCGAAAATACACATTTGCCGGTGTATTGCCAAACATGCCGTCCGTGTAGTGACGGATTAAGAATACGGAATGTCACCACCCCCATTCATCCCATGGGTGTCGTAGGAACTGACTAAGGGAGCAAACTACACAGGACAACAGCACTGCAAAGAGAAAGAAAACTTGAAACCTATACCAACCCGTCTGGCCTATCCTCCTTTCTAAGGAGAGGCCTATGTCCAGCAGTGGACTGTTATAGGCTGTTGATGATGATTACCAAACATTTGTACCATAGACAAATCAGCATAGACTATTGTTTTTATTGGCGAAGAGCCAGTTAGTTTAGTTTAGTTTTGTTCTGTATCTGGGAATAATTTTTATAAATATATATAAGTGTTTAGTAATATATGTAGGTACGTATGTTTATCAGCAGTCTGGTTACCATAACACAGGCTCTGCCTAGCTTGTATCAGATGCCCATTTGTAAAATCGAAACGGAAAAACAATAAAGCTACTGGTAGAGTTTTAACTCACTTAAACATAAAAAAGTTCTTTAACTCAAATAATGTTCTATTTCAGGCAAATGGTGTCCATCGCGCCGTGAATGGTCCTCACCCCCCGACGTAGCGCGGCGGGTGTACTCCTCCGTGTTCCTGGGCAGTCCGGGTGAGTACCCAGGTATGGCAACACTGGTAGCGATACACGGCTGTGGAGGTAGTGCCACTAGCCAAGTTCCTAGCCGGTTTTTTTTAATTTATAGTTTTAAAAGACCAATAATGGATAGTGACATTCGGAGAAAGATCATCAATGATGATGTTGTATAAATGCGAATTTGTTTGTAACTTAATCGTGTCAGATGGGCTGAAAGAGTTTTGATTAAATTTGGCACAATGATAATATCCGTGTGGTGACGAATTAAAAATACGGAATATCACCACTCAATTTTTCTCATGGGTATCGTAAGAGCCGACTAAGTAAGCAAAATAGGCAGGACAACAGCACTGCAATGAGAAGGAAAACTTGAAACAAAACCCTATACCAACCCGTCTGGCCAGCGTGGTATAGTAGGCCAAAACCTCCTTTCTAAGGAGAGGCCTTTCCAGCAGTGGACTAGTAAAGGCTGTTTTCAGGTTATATTTTTTGACATTCTAAAAGGCGATAACGCATTCGTTACTCTTGAGTTTCAGTCACCCATAAGCGGCGGTAGTCAATTTTATACTATTAGGTAATCCGTCTGCTCGTTTGCCAGGTATAACATAAAAAAATATATTTGGGATGAGGGGTTATTGCTCACTTATTATATTAATTTCATCACCATCATCATCAACAGCCTATAACAGTCCACTGCTGGACATAGGCCTCTCCTTAGAAAGGAGGATTTGGCCCGTCTGGCCTGCGTGGTATAACAATACCACGCAGGCCAGACGGGTTGATATAGGGTTTATGTCAAGTTTACCTTCTCTATGCAGTGCTATTTTCCTCCCTTAGTCGGCTCTTAAAAACCAACGGGATGGATGGATTTAAATTTATAATATTACTTAGAACATGTACATGTGTTGGTAGGTAAAAACACTTTATTTACAAATTATGAATATGTATGTAACTTTAATGTGTTCATAAGAAATAAGATTTTTATAAACTTATGAACTAAACGTCTTAAAATTAAATATGTTACAATTTTTTGCTGTTCATTAAAATACACGAGCTTCCTTTTTTTACAACTATCAACATTAAATGAATTCATGTATTTAAATAAGTGGTTCAAATCATAAAACATTTATATAAACACCAATTCTAATTTAAATCGAACAAACATACCGATGACAGTCCAAATCGATTCTCAGTAATGAGCCGACGAAAAATCTAACGACATATACATCTGTCAGCCCATTACTGCCATCAAAAATCGAATATCGACTTTAAGTAATAACGAATAGTGTTTTCAAGTATCAGAACTCGTGTCCGATTGTATCGAGTACCAGGATGGATATCGAATGTTTGCGGCGCGCACGCACGCATGACAGCCCATCGATCATGTTGTGTTATCGTGGATACGATCTTGGTGTCATCTCGATGCAAGGTCGCCTACATCGGAAGATTTTAAACAACTTAGGTACCTACATACGACACTTTTAGCAAACTTGGCCCTATCACGTCCATGCTCTTACAGCGATTCCAATTTGAAAAGTGACATATCAGCTGCAAACATCAAAAATAAGTTTGCTGTTGAAGTATAAAACTTAAATCTACTATAAAACAAAAAATAACTTAGTTTTGTGATTTTATCTTCAGCTAAAGTTATGAATTAAAAGTAAACTAGTTAAGAAATACATTTCAATTTGAACTTCGATGCATCACCGCCATCTATTGAATAGTAGCTAGAACTATTTTAGTTGTACTTTATTCAAAATTATACTTTATTGTTTATCAATAAAGTTACAATTACTGCAACAAAATGTTGCACATGCATCGTTATAACATCCGTGTACTGCGATTACTATCTCACTTGTCCGTGTGCAAGTTTGGGAGTCTCTCTCTTTCTTGTTGCATACGTCAGCGTTATTGCCTGTTTCCAATATAGGTACTATATCAATTACCGTTTTTCGCGCGTTCCGGCCTTAGTCACGAAACATAAAAAAATTATCGTGTTGGGAAATATTTCGTAACCGAACTTGGCGTAAGGACCACATGAAGGATTCGAAGTCTGATAAATTCGAGAGTTATACCCTTTACAGTTTTTATCTAACTAATGCTGTCGAAGACGGATTAACAGTGGCAACGATTTGAACAAAAAGCGCGCCAGAAAGAGAAATATCAAGTGTATCGATTCCGTCTTTAGCAAGAAAGGATTCGGCGAGCGAGTGAAACAGCGCGACCTCGTCTTTATGACGTGCGAAAGAGATAAAACAATTCCTTAGGTCGCTATTCTTAAGTCGTTCGCGTGTTCCGAATGGCACTTTACTGGAATACATTAAGGTCGCAATTTCATTGTTATGACTGGGTATCGACGATTGCGGAGCGTCGTAAAAGAAGGTTATAACTTCATTTGGGTGTGTTAGCGATTAGAGTTCTGTGCAGTAAAAATAAGGTTGTTATTTGTTTGGGTTGTGGGCGGTGGTTAAGTGGGTGGTGCGGCGCGTCGGTAACCATGGCGACGGGGCGCGTTGGAATGCTTCGACAGGGTTGCCCGCTCCAACGGTGTTTTTACCTAAATTAGTTACAAAAACAATGCGCTGATAATGACGCATGGATGTGCTCCGATACCGTACACTGTTTGTTTTATTTCAGGTAATAAGCCCTTTGGCTATTGTCTGCTACTACAAAAATTCTATTTATAAATATGGACTGAAATTACAGGAAACACTTTAGATATTATTACTTGATAATTTTTTGGAGAGAAATCTTAGAAAAAGTCTCATTATAACTTCTGATTAGAAAGCTCCTATTTTTTGTGGGCTCTGTATTGATTTGTCTCCAGTGGTCTTCAAACTCATTTGTCAAACGGAGTGAGCCCATAATTACACGGCGGGTCTAAACTCGAACCAACTAATTTTTAATATTCTCATTTAGAATGCACGCCAAGGTCCGGAGCGAGATGGGAGTGCGCCGATACACGTGCGCGAGAGGGCGAGCACTAAATTGCTCAATTTGTGCCTCAGCTCATAAGGTGCTTCGAATGTTCCTTTTTCAAAAAATCCAATGAGATCGATCGCTAGCCATGTCCGCAAATTAGAGCGGGAATCGTTGTTCGTTAGCAACTATCACAGAACAAAACGTCGCAAGCGACTTACACTGAAGAAACTGAAATGAGTCTTAGTGTAAACGCTTTTGGTTGAGATTTTCTTGGGATATTTAATCTCAATCTACGTTTGGTGAAGCTCAAAGCGGACCGCCGTGCGCTGAAATGCATTATAGGTATTACTAGTGGTCTCGGGGCGCTCATTTCGCTTGAACCTTTTAGAGCTGGAGTCCTCGATGCGATCTTTCTCCGAGGTCATGCTTGCGAAGATTGCACTCGTGGCTTCATCAGCTCCGGTCCAATGACCGTTTATGTACTCCATTATGTGCCATAAACTGGAGATGGTACAGATAACAGTTTTGGCGGATACTGGATTCGTATCCGGCAAGCTTGCCTATTGCTCGGATAATTACTTGTTCTTAACACGTTTCCGTTTTATCCGATTTAAATACATCATTAACCTTTTTTACCACTTTATAACATTTGTTAACATAAAAACATGGTTGTTAATTATTCAAGCTTGTCTCTAGGAATGGTTATTATGATATAATAACAGTAATAAACTACTAAACACTTTTATTATAATTCATTTTTAATTATATCACTCTTGTATATACAAAAAATATAACTTAATCACTACAAATTTTTCAAAATTTTCCCAAATTATATGAAATCAAACCTGTAAACTTATGTACAGCAATATATAACTGGGTGGATAAATTGAATCTATATATATATAAGAGATTTCCACGTATATAGTCACTCATCACGATATCTCTGGAACCATTAGAGCTAAAGACTTGAAATTTGGTAGGAATATTCTTTTCAAAGAGTAGAGGTCAGCTAAGAACGGAGTTTAAGAAATTCAAAAAGTTTTTTTTTTAAATAATGTAAATATCAAAACAACGTTTGCAGGGTCAGCTAGTTATACATAAGTATGTTTATCAGTAGTCTGGTTACATACAGGCTCTGTCCAGTTTGGGATCAGACGGCTGTGTGAGATGCGTAAACTTATAAAAAATACTTAGTTACGAAGATGATAATATACTTATGTAGAAGAAGATCGCAGATACTCAAATTTCAACCTTATATCTATTGGTATACCTCCACTTTACAGAAAGCCACAGTTAAGTATGACTGCTAAAGAAATGGTGTCATTAATCTAGTAATTGGGGTTGCGAATTCTCAAAAAGGAGAATAGTTGTGTCAATGGAAATAAAACTGCTGTGTTGCCATTTGTGGTGATTAACAATCAGGGTTTATTGTCAACCCTTACTAATTTAGTTAATGGAAATACTAATAATATTCTTGTTTAGACCACTTACTAGTTATTGCAAACGGCTTCCCTCGCCTGATTGTTTCTAACTTTGAAAATGATGAACTTTCATAAAAATTTGCATTCCTTGTTTGCCCTTTAAGAAGGAAATTCCCGAAAATCCTTTATTATTCGGTGCTTACAACATAAAACGCCTTTAAGCATGGCTTTGGCGCTCTACCACTGTGCGCTTTTCAATACACTTTTTGCCACACAACTAAGCTGTGGAACAAGTTATCGTCTACGGTATTCCCGGACCGATACGAGCTTCAAACCTTTAAGAAAAGAACGTACTCCTTCCCAAAACGCCGAATGACTCTTGAATTGCAGACGTTCATTCGCGGCGGTAGTCACTTTCCATCAGGTGACCCATCTGCTCGTCTCCCCCAGTGGCTTAGGGTCTGCGATGATGAATCTGTCAGTTTATGTGTATATATATACTAGTTCTTGTCCTAAAGGGTTTCAAACGCGAAGTACATGTAGAAGCTATACACAGAAGCACTCAGACCAAACCAAATTAACCCACAAGGGTTAGACTTTCCAGCAATAGCTGAGTTACGATTCTGATCTTCTGGAGCCGTTGGTTATCTTCTTACCATTGCATCTTTTTCATCTTACGTTCCTTTCAATACTTATATACTTACAAAGACTGCTCTCATTTTCTATACAAATAAATAAAATTGAAGTGTCTGTAATGTCAAAATAATAGGTGTTTTCATGTTCACACGGTTATATGCACGATACCCATGCCTAATAGCCAGTTTAAATATTTTTTGGCTGTCTGTCTGTCTGTTTGTTTGTTCCGGGTAATCTTCTTAAAAGCTGGACCGATTTTGATAATATTTTACTACCAGGTAGCTGTCTACATAAGAAGTAACTTAGGTTATTTTTTCTCTCAGAGAAACCCTAGAAATTTTTGTCCGGTCCGGGCATCGAACCCACTAAGGCAGCGCTTATCCGATATCGATGGCAATAGACTTACCCTATTACTAAAGTGGGGAAAAATTACAATTATAAAAACATTAAGGGGTTTTATTACGGTTCTGATTACCCCTTGGTGGATGTAGGCTTGTGTGTAGGATGTACAATTATTCACACTGAGTAGAAAACGAACCTGGGATTTGTGACATGATAGTAAAATACTCTACCTACCAGCCACATATAATAAACGTTAATTATCAAAAGTTAATTAGTCAAGTCAAAAAGCACATATAAAATATCCGGACAATCCGTATATCTAACCGTCAATCTACACCATCTCTAATATTAACTTGCGTGTGTCTATGTCGATTGCTATCAGTATAAAATACCGCGTGAATTTCACTTGGAACCTGTTTTTCTAGACTTAAATTACTCTCGGAGTATTGGCTGGGTTTCTTGGACAATTTAAATAACTGTCCGCTGGTTCATCGGTTGGTAATGTGCAGTAAAATATTACATTGTAAGGTAATGGTGGCTGTAGATGGAAACCTTCAACTTTCCGATATCATTCACGTTTGTCAGGTCCCATAGCATAAATTGATGCTTATATTTTGCGTACCATAAAGGTTTAAATACTATTTTTAGAGTTTATAGTACTTATTTTAAATTTTTAAGTGGCAACACTGCTGTTTGAAATGTCAGTTATGTAATGTTGAATGTTTAAATCAATGACGTGTGAAAGCTTTAAAAACGTCAAAAAAAATATGGTTTTCGACAGTTGGCTTCTACTACTAAGTTGATTTCAGCTGCTCGAGTCGGTCTGGTTATTTTAGTTGTTTTGTTGCACTACACTTAATTTAAACAAATAAATTTTCTAAGGCTGAATGTGTATTTTATGCTGGGGTTCTTTTCTACGGCATAGGAGGCAAACGACGGGCCTGTTGGTCTATTGTGTGATGAGAACGGCCATTTGTTCTGTGTCTGGGTGTATAAAACACTACATTCTTGTATGTTGCCGCCCTTTGATAAAATAATTTAAGTACTACAATTTTGCAAGCAAATAGCATACGTTAAACAGATTGTTCACTGGTGGAAAGTCTACGGCTCCATGGCATATAAAGGATAGTTTATAGCATATTAGCATATAATCGCGTTGTGGTCTCGAGGTCACAGGTCGAAAGCGCGCGCTGGCCCTTACAAATTGCATTCTCACGCAACAGACCACCGACACGGGAACGTAAGACACGAATTAAGATAAACTCGCACTTAGGATTAATTGTGTCCACGGACGCGTGACATTGCAAATATGACACAATAATAAAAGTGGTTTAGTCTAAGCTGGCTAAGCCACAGGTCGTGGGTTCGATTCCCACCCGGGACATATAATTGTGTGATGAGCATGATCGTTTTATCTGTGTCTGGATTTAATTTATCTATAACATGTAGGTATGTATTTAAAAATATTTAGATATCTAAATATGTTTAACAGCAGTCTGGTTACCATAGCACAGGCGCTACCTAGTCTTATTTAAGATGTGTGAAGTTACTATTATTATTAATCTATCAGCAAAATTTTCATATTTACAGATGTATAATATTTGTATAAACATTCAACATTACACAACTGACATTTCAAATTTCAGTGTTGCCACTTAAAAAAATATTTAATGAAAACAAAAAAACACAACACAGTTTTTCAATTCGACAAGATATCGACTAAATGGGCAGTCATTATTAATATTGCTCGGTTTACGATATTTTTACGATCAGAACATGTTCCCTCACTCACTTCCGTAAACTTTGTGGTTATTGAGTTATACAACGGTGTGTGCGACATTACTTTTACGAGCCGAACGACATGAAATACTTATATAAAAATAATCAAACCTATTGATACCAATAAAAGCGTGCTTGTGTTGTTTGGGCACTAACTGCCTAAATTGTACATCGGCTGTTCAAATAATGAAAATTAAATACGTCAGAAGATATATTGTTGTTGAGACTACTCCCATTCTTCACCCACATGGAACACGCTTCAATATACCTAGACTATCCACTGTTTCTTCTTATCTACTGTCGATTTGTCCATCCTAAGGTTGCCTGTAAGAGATTGCTATTAGCAATAAGGCCGCCCATTGTACATATCCATCTGTAATATTTAACCAACTTACTGTAATTGGTGTACAATAAAGTATATTCTAATCTAATCTAACGCTGTGTGATCCTATTGCGGCGGAGTTGTCTTTTTAAGAGAGAGAAGAGAAAGAAAAATTATTTCCTTTTAACTCTTTTTAAGGGATCTAAAGCGGCGAGAACTAAGCGATGAAGTGACGGACTAGGATCGAGTGATTACGGTATTCTATTACCTCCACTCAACTTTGTAGTTTAACCTCAATAATTAACAAATATTTTACATCTGTGACAATGAATCAATGAAACAAATGTGTCGCGGGAGTCTTTGATAGAGCCCTAAACGTCAGAAGCAGCCGTTCCCATGGCTGACATAATGACCATGAATGAACAACTCAGTCAGGCGATGATGTAATACTAAATTTGACATATTTATTATTCTAAGACGTTGCGACGTCTAAGAATAGTTTGAGGAGACAAGGCGTTGTCTTCTCAAACTATTCTCTTGGAGTTTTTTGTGGTTGCAATAGGTAGCTCCGTCCCGCGATGTAGTAAACTCAAGCACACCCACGTCTTCATTAAAACCGATGGCTTATCGTTAAAATCGATCTCGTTACGAACAATGAAACACGTCGAAACAAAAACTGGCCGAGCGGTAAACGAATACGAGAAACGTAATCGGCCCCAGCGTCGCACCAAATAAAATAAAACCTCAATCAAAAATCTAAAGGCATTCGGTATCATAACCGGAGCGGTGCGTCGACCTGGCCGCCATATGAAAACACGGAGCGTGTGGGTTACACGCCCGCGACCAAAAAAAAACAAAAGTATAATAATGTAACGCACTAAGTATCCGTCTTAAAAATACGCCTCGATCTGTGCTGCGCGCGTCGCGGCATTAACGCGGCGGGAACCGCGCGCCGGAAAAGACACCTTCGAGCCCTGTGCGCAAGGGGCAGTGTTGGCTGCCGGCGTGCGCAGGGCCGGAGGGTGGCGGAGCGGGCGGCGGCGGTGATGGATGGCCCAATCAGGCGGCGTGGCGGTGCCGGCCTCGCTAATCGAGCAGTGCGCCCCGAGAGCCGGACGCACACACGCGCGCGGCGCACACCACGCACTACACATGCCGACACGCCGCGGCCGCGAGATGAGGCCCCGACGATTCCACCACCGATTACATACTAAATCGCATTCACCTAACCCTCGGTAATACATAGCACCGCTCCCAGAACACCGGTATACGTTACCGTCCGGTGGAAAATCGATGAAAAACAGCCGAGACGACAAAACCGGGGGCGGCGTGCAAACAAAACGGGCCTTCACTCGATGAATAACGCCGTATTTACGTCTATATCCGGGCGTCGGATCGATAGCCACCAACTGTTGTAAACAACCGTACGAGAGCCGGGAAAAAACGGCGAGTGCGCGCACCCCTGGCCGTGGGGCTATTAGTGGCCACGTGACTAATTTCGGGAGCTGTCACGAACAGTGCCCGAGCACGTGGAGCGCGCCCTCCGCCCTCAGCCTCTCCGCGTGACGGTCCACCAGACCGTTCATACGACAGAAACCAGACAGCCCTACATCCACCTCCCGGTTCAATTTGGCCGGCGAGCACCTGCTAGTCCCGCTATACAAAAACACGGCGATAGATCACGTCGAACAATTAATTATGTCCCATCGCCCGAAAGAGAGGATCTTTATAAATCAACGGACATCGCATTTTATCCTTAAGAGACCTTTCTCCGACTAATCCCGACAGAATTGAAACGAATCTAATGAAACGGGGATACGTTGAGAAAAAAACAACACCACATCGAGATGCCCTACAATCATTTTAACTTTTTTCCGACGTTCGCTCTCGGGGCTTATGTATTTTTTTATTATTTTTAATTCTGTCTCTGGACTCGTGGTTTTTTTTTTAACTTTTTGTAGCCTTTTCATAAATATTTTAAAATCGGATTCAGTCGGGGACAAGCGAGGCGAATGGATTAGGATTTAGATATTTTTGGGCCGCATAATTTATGCCCCTCTTTGTTGAGATATGAATAATGAGATATATTGTATAAATCTGAAGGGCCATCGGCGAGTTGTGGCGAGACTGCTCCTCATAGTTTCCGCTCTAAGTAGTAGGCTTATCTTGATTTAATTATGTTTGTTTTCGTTCGAGTTTGGACGATTGATGAGCACTCATTAGCCCGCATTGTTATTTAACTACGTTACAGTTTATTTCCGTCAAGTTTTTATCGCCTGTTCTGATTCCCTAACCATCCTCTAAATGTTCGAATAGCTGAAATAATTCTCATGGCGTTCTCGATTTTTATTGTGATCCAATTTTAAAACGATCCCATTTAAATTCCTATACAAATGATTCGGACCATAAAGTACCAGCAGCTATTCCAAATATGTGACCAGTTTAAAAACCCTTTAACGAAATTATTAAAGTAGTTAACAAAAAAGGGTCAGGCCGATGATTTACCGACGTCAATTTTGACAGCTCGTAGTTTTGTTTGACCAAAATTATAGTAATTTGATAAAAATACCCATCTACTTAAAATAAACGTTCCGTCAAAAAACTTTATGATGGAAAACAGGCTGTTTATAATAGATACAGTATGTCAGGAATGTTGCTCATACTCGAGAATGATTGAGAGCATTTTTTCAATCCTCAGTAGCCAATTTTATCTCGAGTAGCGAGTTAACTGATCTTTAATTCCACCGAGACGGTACAGGGATAATGTGATTGTTTTTATTGCCGTTTTGTGCAGTAAGTGACGCTTTCAAGCAGCATTTTGCTTATTATATGATTTCATGTTGCCGCTAAAAGACAGTAGACACACACCGGCCCGGACGCGAGCCCCAGACACACATAGCTTTTTGTCGGTTAACAATATTTTTGCATCAATATAAAGCCAACTTTTTATTCATAAGCGGCCGTTTCGAACGTTCAAAAATAATAATGAGGATGATATAAAATTCGCGAATTTATACAAGGCCCCCAACCCTCGCGGGGAGCGGTCGATTTAATATGATTTCTTATAGCGAGAACTCCTTATTAAATAAACTTTGAAAACGAAAATTATGTCCACCGTACGAGGGCCGCTGATCACAATAAAAACTCGGATTTGACAAGATTAAAATTGTAATTCAAGTTATTTCTGACGTGCGTCTTATTGCTTTTTCGCTACGGTCATGTTTATTATATTATTTTTAGTTAAAGTCGAAACGCGTAACATTGATCGAGACTTAATCCGTATAAAGAGCCTTGGAATAAAAAATAACATGAATATAATTTAAGGTTCGTGCCAAACTGGTAGGTAATCAAGGAGACGACGTTTTTGTAAGAAGATACACATTTAAAAAAAAATAAAGAGTATGTAATTGCTTACTTGTTCATTTTCTTTGAGTAATTCGAGAATCAGGATTTAAAAATAATAAAAAATAAAATATTGATACTGGCATAAAGTGCACTCCGCCGTCCACTATGACACTTTGAATTAAAAAGAAAAAAGTGTCGCGGCCGCCTTCGCGCTTTCCCGCCTCGCTGTCAATATCCATTCTGTCCGTTGCGTTCGGAACTCAAATAAAAATACTAAAGGGTTTTAAGGAAATAATTGTATAAGGTGTAAATAAATAATGAAGTAATCTCTTTGGGATCTTTTTTAAGAATTGACTATTTATAATTCGAATAATTTTCCATGAATATTAAAATGTTTGTGCTTCGTGTCTTGTTTGATAGTTATTTATTTTCCCACAATTGGGCGGGACGCCAGAGGCTGGTAACATTGCGCCGCCATTACTGGAGATTACGGCTAATGTAATGAGCCGGTGATTTGAAATAATCACGCAGATTACCTGAACGTGGTTGTTGTGTGACTATTAAATCAATACCTAACGTGGTCCACGCATTTACGGATTTCCCTGTTTGCTCTCAGTTTAATTTAATATACGATTATGTAGACACTTCATAGGCACAGACCAACCGATCCTTTAGAGGTGTCTTGTTTCTTCTATTACTATTTAATTTTAGAAGGAATAACATTATAGACATCGTGACCCAAACCGGCCAGGAATAAAAACAGTTTTTCTTCGAGACTGAAGACCAGGAAACTTCTATACTGCCACATAAATTGACTAATACTAGTAGAAGTTTACTCTACTGCCGAGTTAGAGAAGTCGAAATGGCCCTTTTTGCCTGTGATGCCCCTTAGAAACGGAAGGCCCCCTTTCCTGCATGTGCCTCTATATTCGAAAAATGTATAGCTAGTTTAATTCTTCCAAAAAACATAAGGTTTTATGGTTCACTTCTTTGATAGGCACTATCATTCTTTAATTGTTTTGATTCTAACCGCGTTTTTCAGATTATCTAAAAGAGGTAAACACCACAAGGAGCAATAAACTACGCGGTCTCCATCCCCATAACGCGTTCTGAAATGAATATAAACACACAAAAACAGTCTTTTCCGATCAAAACCACTCATTATTTGTCAGTTTTACAACTAGACGTTAATCTAAATACAACCGCAACCACAAAACACGACTAGTTAGGAATATAAAAAAGGTGTAAATAAAACTGACAAATGCATTGTAAAAAAGGATAACTAGAGGTTTGGCGCGCTCTGTGACCACAACGCTTTGTTATATCACAACTAGTGTGTGTGGGGAAAAATGGATTTTAGATGGGCTGAGTAACTAAAGAAGACGTGTCATTCTGTCTATAATAATAATATTGTACCACATTCACACAACGCCATCTAGTCCCAAACTAAACAGAGCTTGTACTATGGGTACTAGACAACTGATATAAATACATATATACTTTGTTTTTGTAAATAAATACATATTATACATAGAAACACCCAGACCAAATCAAACATTAAAAGTTCATGCACACAAATGTTTGACTTGAGCGAATCGAACCCGTGACCTTAGAATAGCAGTCCGTTACACAAACCACTACGCCATCCGGTCGTCAAATAAATGTTCTTAATTTTCAACAACAGCCTTTAGTAGTCTACTGCTGAACATAGGCCTCTCCTTAGCAAAAAGGTTTTGGTCTACTATACTACGTTGACCAGACGGGTTTGTATAGGATTGGTTTCAAGTTTTCCTTCTCTTTGCAGTGCTGTGGTCCTGCGTAGTTTGCTCCTTTAGTCGGTTCTTACGACACCCACGGGATGAGTAACGGTGGTGACACTCCGTATTCCTAATCCGTCACCACACGGACAATATTAACACAGCAGTGATTAAGATAATAATTTCAACAGTCCAAATTTCTCATCACCATTGGCAATGGCAGACGAAACATTTTAAGCTTATCAATATTTTGAACTAATAAATTTGTTAATCATCATCATCATCGACAGCCTTTAACAGTCCACTGCTGGACATAAGCCTCTCCTTAGAAAGGAGGTTTTTGCCTACTATACCACGCTGGCCAGACAGGTTGGTATAGGGAAAACAAAAAAAAACGCAAAACAACAAAACTACGCAGGACAACAGCACCGCAGAGAGAAGGAAAACTTAACACAAATTTGTTAATAACATTTTCTAACTACGGTAGAGCCATGCTTAGCCAGATATGTGCAGACTCTTCTGGAATAAAACCATGGCTTTATAGAAAATCTAAGTAATTATTTCACTAAATTTCACCTATTTTATAAATTTCACGAGTGAGTTAGGTTATCATAGACACAAACCCAATCCACCCGCCTCCTCTTAATACCAGGGAGAGTACTCAAAGGCTGGGAAGTCATTTAACACCAGGTGACCCATCTGTTCTATTTCTTCAAGTTGATTAAAGCCCGATGGCTTTAATCGGCGAGGGCGATGCCCTTTTTTGACGTTACTATTCTAATACTATGTTGACAAAATTGACTGCACGGATGACGTAGTGGTTTACGCCGCTTATTACTGCACTGAATGTTGTGGGTTCGACATTGTTGTTCTGAGTCTGGGTGTTCTTTGTATCCGTTTTATGTATGTTTGTAAAGTCTCCTGCGATACAGGATACATTCCTAATGCGGGAGTTGTCTTTTTTTTTAAATTAGTAAAAGAGTAAAAAACATAAGCGCCTGATGTTAAACTGTTGCTTTGAAGTTGCAGTACAAATGTTATCACTTAAATGTACATTGTCCAGTTGAAGTAAATTTCATAATTCCACTAACACTTAGAAAATATTAAGCTCAACTATTGTGGAATGCAAAACTTTACACATC